ATCCTTTAAAAGTGACTTTAAAGAACCCTGGTGAAGTAATGCACCAGAAACAGTATATAACATTACATTGGAAGGAAGAATGGGTTTAAAGCCCATGGTGGAAGGGTTATTGAAGGGGGGTGAAATTTTTGAGCAATCCTTTTAAACATGTTTAGTTTGTTACTTTTTTAACCCAAGAATTTCTGCCTTGAAAAAGTAAGATATGCAGAAAAAAGAAGAAAAGGGGGGGAGGCAGTTTCTGTCTGCATATTTTTGTTTTTTTTAAAGAATAGAAATTGGGTAAAATTTCCTGACTGTAAGAATAATTAATCAGTGGGATAATTGTCTCCAGAAACTGTGGATGCTTCATTATTGGAGATTTTTGGGAGGAGGTTAGAAATGGATAGAGTCTGAAATGGATAGAGTTTCTTGTTTCAGTAAGGGGTTGGACTAGAGGACCTCTACTGTCCCATCCAACTCTGATATTTTGTTTTTGTATGTGTGGCGTGCTTCAGTGATTTTCCTTTGTATTTTAGTTTGGATTTATCCTTAATAATGCATTTATAATGTATTCTTGTCAAAGGAACAATCCTATGATGTTTTATTAACATCTGGTAAAATATGTGTCTTTGGGACTCCTTGCTACTGCAAAAGAGATGATTAATTGCTGCATACTGTGTGTGTTCAATTTGTTTTCCTTTTCCTTGGAGCCAAGGAGGGGAAGGGAAATCTTTATAGAAAACCAATTTAGTTTCAGGGTTATAGCCACAGGCTGCAAGGCTAGATTTGAGTTCAAACCCTGCTTTGGCCATGAGGGATGGCTGAGTGTTTTGGGGCTGGTTTATTTTTGTTCAGCCCTAGGAGGGAGGTTTTGGCAAGCCACTTTTTTAAATGTTATGGCAATTTTCCTCCTGAGGGCTGTTTCAAGCAAAAGTTTTGTATAATTTTTTACTGTCTGGTTTGGTGAGTGGGGGAAGGGGGAGACAATCTTTTGTCTTCTTAGCTATCCTGTTTGATGTGCTACCACAAGAGTGATTTGAATATTATCTGCCTGAGACAAAAGGCATTCCAGAAAATGTTGGCCCAATACTGATCGGTGAGCCTATGTGCTTTACCTTTTAAAATCCTGAATGTGTTATTTACAATAGGTTTATTGAGTTATATTTTTGTAACATGATATTTAATCAGGGTGAAAAGGGAAGGAGAAAGAAAAATGTGACAACTTTTAATAGAGCTTCCATGGACAAGTATAGTCTATCTCTATGTGACACAGGACAAATGATTTTTTCTTTCTTTTCTTTCCTCCACTTTTAAGCTATGGAAGCAAATACATTCTTATGTATTCAGTTTTGTAAGATCCTATTCTAGGAATTATAAAGAAATGGGAAAGCAACTTTTTTTGGCAGAAGAAAGGATTGAGGGTATCTAGCAAATAAAGCTCAATTGGTATGAAAGGAGGTAAAATATCTAGGATATATTATAGTTGAAGGGGAAAGGAAAATAGATAGTAAAAGGATTGAGGCTATAATAGATTTATAATTACCAAACAATAAAAATGGCATTAAGGGAATTCTGTGGTTATCACAAGGTACTGCAAGAATGGTGATCCAAAAACTATATGAGGAGAGTCATTCTGGAATTAAAGCATAGGTAGAAATGTATTTCAAATTCTATGCTACCCTTGGAATTTATGGAATAGCCCAAAGGGCCACAGAGGGATGTTTGATATGTAAAAGGGTTAATAAAGGATTAATGCTCCCAAAGGAGGGAGACAAATAGCTAAATGTAGAACAAGTACTGGGGTCTCTGTCTTCTCTTTGGCAGGAAGGCTTGGTGGCGCAAACAGCTCATTTGGAATTTCCAGTCCATAAGATCCAGCCGGGACAGTGGGTGCTGATTCATAAATGGAAGGAGGAATTTCTACAACCAAAGAAGGGAAGTTCCTTATATTGAATCTGCTGTCCGGAGGGCTGTGAAGGGTTGGACTCACTACACACGAGCGAAGGTGGTGACTGGACCTGAAAGAGGTTGGATGGTTATTCCAGGACAAGGACTGAAAGCCATGTTTAAAAGCACTTGAATGGGTATTGGACTAGAATCCCTACCTAATTTGAATATCTCTATTAGAATTTCAGGTGACCCCCAGACGAAGAACAAAGAAGATGGTGGTGATTCATGAGAGAAGTAAAAGTGGTTTGTTACAAATAAAACGAATAACTAAGACAGAAGTCATATCATTAGAAACTGAAAATGTAGAATTGTAAATTGTAAGAATTAGGTGGTAAATGTATATTTTTTGTTATTGTCACTGTGATTGCTGTAGCTGTTATTGTTGTGATTATGGACCAATTTGTGGGTGTGAAATACTGTGAAAAAATCATGAGGGGTGGATTCTAATTCTAATATTACTGAAGACAACGCACCAGAGCAGCCTGGGAAATAAAGCTAAAAATTTGTGGGATTTAAAGATACAGTAGATGACAATCATGAAGCAGAATGGATATTGCAAAAGGAATCAGAAAAGTGGCTAAAGCTCCTGAACAAAAGTATGAAAATATGTGGAGTGATTGGAGTTGGTTAACTAATTGGCTTCTCAATTTTGGATGGCTAAAACAAATGTTTGTAGGACTTATGTGTTGTGCATGTCTGCAATGTATTCTTTATGTGCATCTACTTTAACCAAAGCTGTAGGAAAAGCCTTAGGAAAGCCTTAGGAAAAGAAAAAGTTATATACTTAATGGTTATAAGATTTTCTAAGCATGATAATGAAGACCCTTCAGTGTAATAAAAATTAAAAGGTGGGATTTGATAGAAGTAAAGGAAACGTCTTCAAAAATTTAATATTGAAAGAGAAATTTAAAATTGAATTTGTTGCAGTGGAAACTTACTGCCTGGACAAACAAGCTTACCAAAAACTGTAATATATGGAAACCAGGAAAGGAGAGCATAAAGAAAGGAAGTAAGATAAACATATAGGCAAAAATAGCTGGGTCTTAGAGTGGGAAAAGGAAGAAGACAAACTATAAAAATAGCTGTAAGAGGAAAACAAAAAAGAACCTATTGTTCTAAAAGGGGGACATAAATATCCACAGAGTTTAAAATAACCATTTAAATGTCTAATTTTTCTTATTATTATTGTATATGTGAATATGATTTAATATGTTATCAGGAAATGTGTAAGAGGCGGTCGGAAAAATGTAACCTCATAGTATCTCAGCCAATGGGGAAAGAGGAGGGATGTATGGCCGGGACAAGGATTGTATAAAGAAGGGGATATTTTGGGTTGGAACTTTGGAGAGAACCAAGCTTTGATAGCTTCTCTCCCCATTTATTGCAATAAACGAAACAAAAGGCCTTCACTGTTTATTGGCTGGTTATTGGTCAGGCGAGTTTGCATCTGGTCATGAAGGAAAGTAGCCAGGAGCACATAACAAAGGGAAGCCATGGAGAGACCTGATGACCTTGAGAGTGGCACCTTATCGGTTCTTTCCCACAACAATTTGACACCTATGGATTGGCTCTGTTTGAACCAGCCAGGTGGATAGTTGGGGTGGCACTTGACTGGGTTCTTTTAATCTATCATTTCTTGCAGGAAATCCTCAAATCCTGTCTTACTGTCCTGCTGTCAATAACTTCCAATAAAAGTTCCTGTTGAAACAATGCAAGTTTCAAGAGCTCTGCTTCCTTGGGAGGTCTAACTGAGGCAGGTCCTTACAGTCTCTCTTTTTCTGTAGTTTTTTATTTTAGTTTATTCCTCTTAAATCATTAAGAATTTAAAAATTTCTAAAGAATTAAAATAAGTAAATTGTTTTTTTCAATGTTTAGTTGAAATAAGACATTGAAGAATTGAAAAAATTAAAAAAGATTTTATTAAAAAATTGAAAAAGCATTTTAAAATTAGAAAACATTTAAAAAGCCAAAAAAATTAAATAAGAATTTTATAAAAAAATGAAAAAAGAATGTTAGAGTTGAAAAAGTTTTAAAAATTGGAAAAAAATTAAAATTAAAAATATTTGAGAGTTGAAAACAAGAAGATTAAAAATCATTTTTAATCTATATGCTGAGTATATATTAAGAGAAGCTGGATTGGAAGAAGATGAACATGATTTTAAAACTAGAGGGAAAAAACATCCATAATCTGTGCTATGCTGATGAGTATAACACTACTGTGTAGCCAAAAATTGCAAAGGATCTGTGACCTCTAATAGAAAAAGTCAAGGAGCACAGTGAAGAAATGGGACTAAAAATAAATATAAGGAATACCAAACTAAAGACAACAGGTTGAACAACCAGCCTTAGAACTGATCATGAAGACATAAAAGTGATAGTTTTTTCCTGTTAGGATCAGTTATTAACAAGAAAGGAACTGTTAATAAAGAAATGTGCCACAGACCTACATTTGATGGAGTAACCATAAAGACCTTGGAAAAGGTATTTAGATGCCATGATATGTCTATACTTGCAAAGATCACTATCATGCAAAAGGTTTCTTTGTGACTTGGATTTGGAAGAAGCAAGATGGGAAGAACATTGATGCTTTTGAACCCTGGTGTTGGAGAAGAATCCTGACGATACAATGGACAGCCAAGAAAACAACAAATACATAATCAAACAAATCAACCCAAAGTTCTCACTCAAGGCAAATATGACCAAATATGACTACATTATGCAAAGACCTAGCTCTCTACAGAAGACTCTAATGGAAGGAACCAAAATCTATGCTGTTGCTAGAAGTGGACAACGAGCTGATGGCACATAATCAACCAACACCCATCCACCAGGATTACCCCCCCCCCCCGCTAAGGTTACAATAGCCATGAAGCTCTGTTTATGTGAAGCCAGTCTATCCCTAGAGATAAGAGCAACAACTAATATGGCTGTAAATTGACCTTTGGATTGCCAGGCAGTAATTTAGGAGTTAGCGCCAAGCCCAGCGAACGAGGCATACGAAACGTCAGCAACAGATGGTGAAGCCCTCCCCTCAAGAGGGGGCAGGTAGCGTGGTTCCAGCGCTTCCTTACCTTGCCGTACAACACTTTATTTACTCCTGGCTGTTTCCTTCTTTATGTCCTCCAGATGGTAAGCAGCCTCAGAAACATACTGAGCAAGCTAACCGGGGATCATCACAGCCTACAGCCTCCGCCGTGCAGTTTCACTACGCGAGGAAAGCTGGTTTGAAAGATTTTGCCCCCTTGTGGCCAGCTATTACTATACCCTTCCTACTTCCTCGTCAGATCCATTATGGAGCGCCTCGCCCCGGCTACTTCCAGAGAAGGCTTTTATGGGACAATCACTCTGCGCGCTTCAGGCAATTGAACGGGAGGAGTGGAGAAACCTGATCTAAACTTCGCTGTTTTCATAGAGTTCCCTGTAGTACTGATCACAAAAGGCACTGTGTAGCTCCTTCCAGCTTTCCATTCATACAGTCTGTGATAAGGAAAAATCCCAAAGAGCAGCAGTGGAAATCCACACTGCAAGTTTCAAATGGTAATTTTTTTCTACCCCCAATGGCACAGAGCATTGCACATTAAAAATCTTCTCTGGAAATGTCCAATGCTTTCTCCATGTTTTCATACCAGAAAAAAATCTTAAAAGGCAGACTGCACAGTACCCTTTTATTGGTAACAAAATGACCCCTTTACAGTCCAATAATGCTGCAATATCAATATATTCTTATTGGTTATATCTGTCTTAAGCTATTTCACCAACTGCTTTTTATTGGATGTCTTCTGATCTCCTCCATTGATTTATGGCCATGATCTGTGGCCATACACACTGCAGGAACAACAGCACTGAGGGTAACACTTCTCTGCCTTCTGTTTGTAATGGTGCAGGAGACATTAACTCATTTCTACTAATTATTATTTAAGTTACTTGAGTAAGCAGTGTACAAATAATTATAATAAAAAAGCTATAACTAAGTTTTTATTTCCAGGCTAGCTCTCTGCAGGTATAAAGTTTCAGCAGCACCAGTTGACACAGAAAAATTAACTTCAGAACTTGCTTCTTCCTGTAATCACAGTGTTACTGAAAAGTGTTACTGAAAAGTGTTTTCAGTGTTACTGAAAAGACAAGCAACAGGGAAAGCAGCCCACAGTGCCTTTATTGTATGGACAGCTAGAGAGTTTCACTGAAAAAAATAATCTCTCTTTGGCTTGGTTTATGTATGGCTAGCAGGCATTTCAAACTGCCGGCCCGCAGGCCAGATGTGTCACGCTAAAACCGCACCCACCCCATTGCCAGCAATGGAGAAAAAGTCACGATACGTCGTGCGATATAACGTGACATCGTGAGTTTGGCATGCCTGGGCTAGAGTATGCTAGTATAGGCTGAAAAAAGTGTGTCTGTGTGAATAAGCTGCTGCTTTAACATGCTATGTCACAGGTGTCAAACTCACCATGTCACGTGACATATCGCGACGTATCATGACTCTTTTTGCATTGCCAGCAATGGGATGGGCGTGGCTTCGGTATGATGAAACCGGCCTGTTGGCTGGCAGTTTGACACCCCTGTGCTATGTGAATCAGCCTATCATCTCAAATCATATAACTTGTTTCAGCATAGCAAGTTAAGTGAATAGAGAAACTCTGCTTTGTTAATTTAAGATTAATGTTATACCTGAACCCACATTGTGTGTCTAATTGTGGTCCCCACTCCACCTGTATTATTTTCTTTTTTTTAGAGGATCCCGCAGAGAAAGTGAGGTATTAAGAAATAAACAGTATTTGCCATTTGTTCTCCTGCTTTATAATGAAAACCATTCTATGAATATGGGGCTCCTGAGCTTTGTGGAGTTGGCCTTTTCTTATATTTCTGTGCAAGGGTAAGAGGTGAAGGTGGGAAGGGATAAGTGTTTTTCTCGGACTCAGCTTTTCTCAGCTTTGGTTTCTGCCTTCTGCTGCATGGGCTGACAGCATGGATAGGCAGCCACCTGCAGTTCAAAGAGCTTCACTAGCCTCTCCAGACTCTGGCCAATGTTGGCAAGCTCTAAGCAAACATGCTGAAGAGCTGGAACAAGCTCCTGCAACCACAGAGTTTGCTGTTCCTGGAGGGTCTTTAGTCTGGCCTCCATGCTGGACAACTGCTGCTCAGTGTCTTCCTGTTCTTCTCTGGTCTGTTTTCCATGCTGAACTCAAAAGATCCAAAGGAAGGCAGAGGATAAGACCTGGAGGTATACTTTTCAGCCTGAGTGAACAAGTAAGGCCCAGGGTAGCCAGCCTCTACTCTTGAACAAATTGGAGTAGCACTTGGCCAAGATACTCTGCCTGGTGAAAAGAAATCTTGAGGAAAACATGAAAAGATGAAGCCTGCCTTTCTTGTTTGAGTGAGGAGCATGTTGGTTTGAGAATTTCATTTTCGATAGTAATAGAGCTCATATTTTTGGGTGTGAGAATTGTGGTGGCACTGGAAGCAGAACAAGAGAGGTCCTCTTCAGAGCAAGACATGGGCATTGCCAGTGTGGCATTGTCAATGCTAGTATCTGATGTTTGTGTTGAAAATTGGAGGGCCATGCATTGAGGTCTAGAGGCTGGAGCACTGTTGGCTAGAATGCAGCCTGGGGGTGGAGCTGCAATTCCCCCCCCCCCCCCACTAAGGTGGCCCAATTTGAATGTAGCCTGCATGCCACGATTTCATTTGATGCACTTTTTCTTAACTTCCCAGGAAACTACAATGGCAAGACAGCAAAGGTTACTTCAATATGCAAAATCACCATTCAGCTAGCACAGGGGTGTCCAAACTTTTTTCAAAGAGGGCCAGATTGGATGAAGTGAACATGCTGGAGGGCCGAACATTTTTCCAAACATTCTTTGAACCATTACAATTAAATGCAAATGAATTATTTTATGCCTCTTTCCTCTCCCTCTCTTTCCTCTTTCTCTCTCTCTCTCTTTCCTTTCCCTTTCCTCTCCCCTCTCTCTCTTTCTCTTTCCTCTCCCCCTTTCTCTTTCCTCTCCCCCTTTCTCTTTCCTCTTTCTCTCTTTCTCTTTCCTCTAACTTTCTCTTTCCTCTCTTTCTCCTTTCTTTCCTCTTTTCTTCTCTTTCCTCTTTCCTTCCTTTCTCTTTCCTTTCTCTCTTTCCTCTCTCTTTCCTTTATTTCTCTTTCCTCTTTCTCTTCTCTTTCCTCTTTCTTTCCTCTCTCTCTTTTCTCAATCTTT